CCCTAGTCCAACTGAATTAGATGCTCTGGTGTTTGGACATCTGTTCACCATCCTTACTACTCAACTAATCACTGATGAACTCTCTGAAAAAGTGAAGAACTACAGTAACCTGACAGCGTTTTGTCGGCGAATAGAGCAGCAGTACTTTGAGGGTCATGACAAAGACAGCTCTGCAATTGCAGCCCGATCCTCCAAGAGGCCCTTGCTGAGATAGGCGTGGTGCTCCGGGTGGATCACGTTGCAGTTTTGGGCTTATCATTGCTCAAGAAATTGATTTTGAGAATGGAAATGTGTGTTAGCTTTTTGAAGCTGCCAAATCATTCTGGAGCAAGAAAAGATGTTAAATACAGTTTTTGTGTTGTAGAATATACTGTGCACATTTAAGCTGAAATGTCCATATGAGCGTTTCCATTTTAACAGCCTGTATGCCACCTACTGTAAAGTGACCTTGGAAAAATATCTGTTTCAAAAAATAAAACATTGAAAGTTGATCTCTGATCTTTCTAAATGCCTCTTTTGCTAAATTTTATTTCTGTGTAGTTCACAAATGGGATCTTTTGACAGGACACTTGGAAGAAAGTTATGAAATAGTTAGAATTACTAGGCTGGGAATGCAAGTATGCATTAGAGATCTTAATGTTTGTCGGCCTCAGCTAAAACTTATTCAGAAATTGGGTGAAAAAATGTCTTGGAGCTCTGTAGCACACAATTAATGTGATCTTATCCAGTCAGTTCCTATTTTTGTGTCAAAGTACATTCTGGCTGTCAGTTCTTCATCTTGCGTGTGTCTTGCCTCTGCTTTTATCTCTCATTCATCTTTGGTTTTTTGATTATAATTTTTGTTCTTCCTGTAGTTTCCCAGTTTTAATCCCCAGCTTTTTCTGCAACTTATTTAAGAAACTTATTTGCTAGGTAAGTGTCTGTCTCACTGTTTTCACTTCCAGTATGTTGACTTTGCTTCTGAACTTTAATCTATCTACCAGATATGGTTCTCATAGAAAAAGGAGTCACTGTGAGCCTGTGGCTGGCATGTCTTGGTCCTTCTGCCCCTGCATTTTTCTTGGTATATGTAGCCACAGTGATAGAAAAGTAAACACAGAAATATCACTGTGGTGCTCCAAAAACTCTGGCAACTTGGAACTTTTCAAGGGAGAATTCTTGTGTGTAGGTAAAGACTGATCTGACTAGTATTATTTTGAGTGCATTATATGGTATTACTCTGTCCTGCTGTGTCAGTTGAACTTGATGTTTTTCCAGAAGCACCACCAGGAACATGCTGGTGGAAGAAACAAACCTTGTGCATTCAGAAAGTCATAGGCACAGCTGGGAACCAGCTCAGGCTGTTTGGCTTGTTGGAACCATTGTGTTCTTACTTTGAAGTATGTCCATTTGACTATATGCTTCAGTGTCAGAACATTTAATGGCTTGAACTGCTTATAAATGGTTATACAGTGGTCATGAGGTTTTGGCTGTCATTTCCTTCTCTCTTAAAAGCTGAGAAGAAAGCAGCTGCATGCCTTGGACTGGCTGCATCTCCCACGACAGGCTCCTGAACCACTCCTGCTTACTCACTGTTTTTGTGGGGAGTCATTCTTGCCAGTTGGACTGGAAAACAGAGCTGAATTCTTACTGCCTGCTTTTGGATATAAAAGTCCGAAGTCCTACTGCAGTCAAATCCACTAAGTATCAGTGTATAAAGGTGTCTTGGTCTTTCATCAAACCACTCTTGCCAGGAGAGGCAGATTGCCCTTGTCCTGCATTTCAGTCTTAAAATTTCACACGTCTCTATGTTGAATACCTTTTTAAACTAAACCCCATCAGCTCTTGACTGCTTAGTGACCATTTCCACTATCAAACCAGTTGGTAGCTGAGAACCCAGATATTTCTTTCAAACTTGCTTTTTTTTTTTTTTTTTAATTTTTAAGAGAGAATATTGTTTAAAGAGAGAATATGGTTTTTAAAGACAGAATATTTTTTTTGAGAAAATATTGTGATACATGCTACTTTGAGCACTCAGACTAAAGTTAGCATGCAATGGTGATGGGGAAATCCTTTGTGAAAGCTCAAGTATTTTAATCCAGGGTAATTAAACTGGTCTTTTACCCTCTTGCTATTCACAATGAAAGATTTTAAGTTAGCTTCTGTTGTTTTCACAATTCTACTACCAGTAGACTGAACTACAGGACTAATTTACTTAATGGATTTCTAAACCTACTTATTAATTTTTATTTCTCTGAAAAAGTGTAGGTGGGCATGTGTTCCTCCTCTTTCAAGGCTTCAGTGGCCATTAGCCACCTTGTAGCCAATTTTCTGTAATTGCTTTGAAACAACATTGAATGAAACTGTTTGTATTCTGGCAAGGTGAGGCAGAGCAAGCTCTGGTAATAAAACACCTTGAATGCTGAACAGGAAGTTATTGCAGATTTTGTGCAGTAGCATACAGTGAGTTTTATAACTTTGGAGAAGTAAAAAAAAAAAAAAATCCACAGAGCAATACGCATTAACCTGCTTTGAATGTCTCATCTAGAAAATAAATGCTGTGGAAGTGGTTGGGCAAAAGATACTGATCTCTTGCAAACAAAGTTTGTGTAAATCCACCTGAGCTACCCAGACTCCACTTAAGGATACAGAGACAGGCAAATCACATCAAGTTTTCAATATTGAAGTGAGAGGACAAGCAGAGACTGAGCTCTTAAGTTACACTGAAGTTTCTGAAAGTTTAACCACCTCCCTCATTCCTTGTGCGTGACTTTGATAATTTGATTTAAATGGAAAAGAGCATTCCTTACTTCCTTGACTGAAGAGAATTCTTTCTGTATGGCATATTTGCTACAGAGCTGGTTTGTAGTTCAGGTTGCACCTCTTTCTAGTTGATATCTAAACTTAGAAGGAAAATCTTGGCTTTGCTACCCGTGTTGAAAATAGCTATTAAAATCCTAGCCAAATGACAGACTTTGTACTTCATAAATACAAGAAACCAATATGCTTTTTCAAGTGACATTGGTAGCATGATTGGTGCTGTGGAGCAGACTGGGCTGAGCTCCAAGGACCAACAGTTGCTTGGCAAGCTGTGCTTTAACTCAGTGAAGCTGCAGTCCTACAAAAGACACTTAAACGGATTGCTCCTGAAATGCTAGGCACAGCTCAGGAAAGGGAATGAAAAGTTATAACACCAGCAATAAAACAAGGGTGGAAAAAACCCCAAACCAACCCAAACCTCATAGCCTTTCTTTCAAGGGGATTGAGCAAGGACACTGAGCTGCCTTCTCCGTGGCAAAGTAGCAAGGGCTTTCTGCTGGTCTGAGTGGCCCTCTGGTAGACAAGGCTGTGCACGTGCAGTCTGTGAGAATTTTACTCTTGAGTTGTGGGTGTTTCTAGGAGATCTCCCATGACTAAAGCACAGCTGCTGCACCAGCCAGGAATCAGGCCAGGAAGGCCTATGGTTTGTCTCACATAGCAGGACAGTGGGGATGATGGTTGATGGTTTTCTTTCTTAGCTTTTCAGGCTCAAAAGTTCTTACAGCCTATTTTGAGTGAAGAGAGACAGCTGGAACTTCCAAAGTTTCCCCAGATTAAGACAATATTTAGGTTTCTAACAGAAAAAAATGTCAGAAGCAACTGTACCATGGATTATCATTCACCTTCTAAATATGCCCCACAAGGAAGTGCAGGAGTTATCCAACCAAAACAGCACACAGAGTCACAACAGTTCTCAGAGCTACAGGTCAATAGATGTAATTGAGTCTGAGTACCAGTCACCTGACCATTGTGCTTTGCTTCTCTTGGTCTTTTCCTTCCACAAGTAATTAGCTTCATAGGCATGTGCTCAAGTTGTAAAGTAGCAGACACTTTCTTCACCTGATGGAGCTAAAACAATTGGGGAAGTCCTGGTGAAAACAGGACTGCTTTTCCATTCCTAAGATGCTTCTGTGGGACTGTGGAGTGGACTAATCTTGCTCAGCACAGACCCTCCTCAGCACAGTTATCTGCTCATGTCCTTGCTGGATTTTGGGGTCTGCTCCTATCAGAAATATACAAGGTGCCAGTTCCAGATGTGAAGATCTCATTGGCCTGCCCAGCACAGAACTGTACACATAGCTAGACTGTGGATCCTGTGTGCCCTGTGCCATTCTTAAGTACAACATAGGAAAAGAAGCAACCACCCTACTCCACCACAGGCTGTAACAAACCATCTGGTGATTTGAAAGTGGCCAAGGTCTCAGCTACAGGGTCATTTTTAGTATTGGATCATTGTTTCCAGCTGTAAGTCCTCCCTGATCTTCTGGTTTTCCTGTTCCTCTCTGAAGCAAGTTCTCCTTGACTGAGTAGCCTCTTGATGCTGCCATTTGTTATGTGATGGGATTTCAAGGGAGACGTGTGAAGGGGTTTTGGTGGGAGCAGCTTTTGCTAGGATCTATCACTTTTCACATATCAGTTATAAAAATTTTAGTACGGAGTGGTGTTAATGAGATATTAAACTGCTGTTTTCTCTGTCTTTTATTTTATTTCCCCTTTTCCTCCCTATGGAAAGAAAGACAACCTGGCAATCTCCTGCCTCTCAAATGTACTTAAAGCTCAGTGTGGTGAAAAAAAAAGAGGCTAGCATAGCCTTACACATGGAGAATGCTGCTGAGCTGCACTTAATGATGCCTCTTAGGATCAGCTGTGCTGCTAGAAAACACTTCATTTCCTGTGGCTTTCTTTCTTTATAAGCAGAGTGCAGCTCCAATGGCTCTCACAACAATTAGCACCCACTTGTTCTGCAGGTTTGAAGTTTTTGCATTAGTCAGGTTGAGAAATTCATGGTATTAATCATGACTGAAGTTGTTATTTATCACCTGCTGGGTGAGAAATAATAATTTTGGCACTGCTGGGGCAGCAGGCCAGAAGTACCAAATTAAGTAAAACATCTAAACACCAGCAAGGATCATTTCTCTGATTAATGAATTGTTACAAAGAAAAACTGCTACTCGTTATCTGATCTTAGGATAAAAGTAGGAGTAGAAAGTAGAAAGCATTAGTAAAGTCAGGCTCTAGGGTGATGCAGTTTGAAACTTCCTGGCTGATCTACCCTGTCATTCACTGACTAACATACTGCTTCACGCGTTTGTGAGACTTGGCTTACATCCCCAGTGCCAACTTTGTCAAAAACCAGCATTTGGCAGGGAGCTTGAGGCCTGTTGTGTAACTGCCTCGAAAGAAATGAAACACTTCAAGCTTCTAGGGCTTGTCTAGGCTGGAAGGTTTTGCCACAGGAACAGCTACCAGCCTGGCAAAATACCATTGTGTGAAGGCAATAACAGGCGTGCAGGAAACAAAATCGGTGACATCAATAGAGTGAAGTTCACACCCTGTATCCATACTGGGAATGTTAGGCACCTATGGCATTAAAAGAGCCCACAAATGACAGCTGCCTGATCAGGTGTATTTCACATGTAGCTCACCTACAGAAAGGGTTGGCCTACACAGAAGTGGTTGCATTGGAAAGAAGTCTGTGT